AGCTCCACACAACACTAAATCCAACAGATCCTGGATGTGTCCTTTTAATTTAAGGTGCTTGTCCTCCTACTCCTCCACTCAAGGTCTATTCGACTCAAGTCCCAGGGAACTGAAAGAAGCACCAGCATGTCAATAAATAAGATAAATAAAATGACATTGCGGCCACAGTAAATGTTTAGGAATGAATCGCATGTTTTTGTGCCTGTCCTACAGGTCTGGTTTGCTCAGAAGTCTTGCAAAGGATTCTTCCCGAGCATGAGACAGATGCACATGTGTGCTGTCCTTTAGTTTATGAAAAAGATCACTGGATACCAAAACCTCGTCGAGCATGATATATGACATTAAACTTTACAGAAAAATCTGCCTGACAAGAAAAAAGTACATAAATGTTTCTTATTATAATAATGAATTGCCGATGTCCGCTTTTCATGACGATACGTGCATAGAAAAGGGCTCTTCTTAGAAATAAGAAAAGAAAGAAAGAAAGAGCAAAAGAGCCACTAATAAGTTTAAATAAGAGTTATAATAATCTCTTAGCAGCAGCGAAGGTCTCGTGAGTAACGTTAACGGTCCACACCGGCTAGCTTCAGCTAACACCAGCAAATACAAAACTCTCCATAAAACCATCAAACGTCTGTTTAAATTGCCATTGACTCAATGGAAGAGAAAAAATATCACATTATACAACTCTAACAACAAACAAACCTTTAAATGTGTCTAATTACAGAGTTTTCTCTTCAGGGTTGCTGACAGACGCAGAAGTGACTCGCTGCCTCACTGACAGAACCATTAAAACATCAAAAGCGCTGCGAAAGCAGATAAAAAGCGATTCAAATACTTACTCTTAGAGCGAGAGATTCTATACAGCGCAGTTTAATGTCATGAAACAAAAAATGAAAGAGAAAGAGTGCGGTATCAGAAGCGGATGAGTCTCGTGGCGGCTAGTCGTTTCTAGGCAGCGCGAGCAGCGGCTTCGCGTCACGAGCGCGCATAACGTCAGCCTCACTGCACGAGGAGTTGCATTAACTTTTTTTCCAGCACGTTTTGTATGTAAAGCATGGGCGAGGCCAGACGTTTCCGATCTATAAATCCATCACCCGCAGAAGCTCTGGCTTCATTTGTAAGTTAGCCGGTTCGGATTCAGTGCTAAGACTTAGTTTCTATTGGGATATTCAATATATACTTTTTAAAGAATTGATCTGATTGATATTTGTTTCGCTATTTTCAAATTCAACTCCACAAACGCGCGTATTTTCTATTAGTCCTTACTAAGAGAACGACCAATCATCCTTTAGACAAGCGTATGGTATGCACGAAGAGGGAAAATGAAGAAACTGCCTGTAATTGACCATGAAAACTCGCGTTTAATATTTTTAAACTAAATATATAAAGTTATAGTGAAATAAGACGTTTATTATTATTATTATCGTTTAATAAATTACATCCATTTGGAAAATTACCAACTTCTCATTGGGTGGGCCCACGCGTAGCCTCGCCACTGACGTAAAGAGCAATCAGTTATTAATTAGAAAATCCTAAATATTTCGCCCTCAAGCAGCAATCCTAGATTTCGCCCACGAAAATTTGCCGAACAACGATAATCATGACAGAACCTTAACTTCGAATCGAACTTTTCAAAGTTATTACAACATTTAATAAACTACATCCATTTGGAAAATTACCAACTTGCTCACCCGGGCCCACGCGTAGCCTCGCCACTGATGTAAAGAGCAATACATTATGCAAATATTTATTTTTATTAGGAAAATACCATACATATTTAAGAAGGAGCTGGCTCTTTGCGAACCAAATTACATTTGATAAATAACTTAATTCATTACCATAGTAAATATTAAAGAACCATGGTAATTACTGTACCGTGTAACCAGTACTTCGGAAAGGTTTTTGTGCATCTTATTCTGCAATTTTGTTCCTAAAAGAAACACACATATATAGAAAAAATTAAAGATTAATATTTCAGTTTCTGGAAGACTTCAGGAAGAATCATGGCTCAGAACAGATTTTATTTTACCTCTAAACTCTTGAAACGATCTATTTTGTCCTTATATTTAGTATTTTGTATGCCTTTGTGTACGTTTATAAACTAATATAACAGCATATACAATTAAAAAAAAAAAACTGTTTATTAAGACTGTATGCAAATTTTGTATGCACAAGACTGCATAACCATAGAATAATAACCATAACTTCTCCTTAATGATGAGCATGTAAACAGCCATTGTTGATTCATCTGGCCAGAGTACTGGACAGCCTGTGCAAAGAACTGTCTGTACTATGCATTTACACCAGTTTCCGCTGAACACAAACCATTTTTAGTGACTCAAAAGTACACACAGTTGTGAAATAAATTCACATGCTGCTTTCTCATATCTTATCAGCTTTCAGAGGCAGCTGGTCATTCAGATAACCCCCCTACATGTGTTAGCAAGATCTCCACATCAGCAGAAGAGCATTTTGTTTAGTATACAGCAGATGATATAAAAACCACACCATGGGTTTTGACAGTCTTTTTATTGATAATACTGATAACATCTTAATACATTTCCTATAGCACACATAGAGAGAAAAAGAGGGAGAGCACATTGGAAGAACAGATATGAATATCAATAAGAAGAATGAGGAGAAACAAAGATTTCATAAGAATAATTTTTTCACAACTGAATAAAATCCACATCATCCCGTTTTAGTTTATATACAAAAAAAACGTGCAAAGTTGGAAAAGGCTGATGTTCAGAGAAATGTGCAGCCGTCAGATTTAAGCAAAAAGATTACAAAAGACATTGGGAAAAAATGTGAATACTAAATAGCAATTGGCTTGATGTTGTAAGAGCAGCGACGCGTCACCACTAGAGAAACACAACACTGATTCCCTCTTTCACATATGTGTAACACACTCAGACACACACCAGCTTCCCATTAGTGGCCTGATTAAGTAATATCACTCGTCACTTCAACTGTTTCAACCTACAGGTCATTGTGTTTGGAGAAGAATCCAGTTGATAACAGATGAAACACTCTTTTGGTGGTTATTCAAGTGTATATACATCTAAAAAAAACATTTAGGTTTCACTAACACAATTTGTTAGTGCATTAAGATTGTGTTTCTGTGTTTAAGCAGAAAAGTGAGTGAATTCTTGGAGATCTTAACATTATGCATTTTTGTCTAACTAGAACAGTGTGGTAAAGAGCGCCCCCTACAGGATTAGACAGCATTTGAGCAAAGCACAATGAAGGTTGTTGATTAAATGACATTGAACACAGACATAATTCGAGGTCCCTTTTGTAGACTGGCAGCCAAAGCACGATCCATTCCATAATAAATCACATGCATAATGTGACCTAGTGTGACAGCGGCAAACACTGCGATTGACCCACATTAATAAACACATTGTTCATCATTTCACATTTTCTGTGGGTTCAACCAGCACTGCTCAAACAACAACAAATGCCTTTACAAAAGCATGCCGTACAATCAGAATAGCTGTTTTACCATGATAGTCATCATCTTTAGACAAAAATAGTTATATGCACCTACAAAGCTCAGAAAATAGATAGAATCACCAGCATTCAGTATAAAATAAACAGCATGAAACAAAAAAAAAGTCACCAAAATGTATTATTGTGAAGTTCATGCAAATAGTTTCCACTTATAAGATAAGTTAACATTATGCAGCGGTAGTTTTACAAGATATCTATTTGTTGAGCAGTTTTATTTTCAATTATTGTCTGCAATACTAAACACACATAAGAAAGAAATAACACCAGTTTGTTGACATGCGGACTGCTGTTTGCGGCGGATGTTGTATTTGTCACCATTTACATAGAGTTTGAAACTCTCATTAAAGTGAACTACAAAAATAAAAGTCACATTTCAGATTAAAATTAAAGGAATAGTTCACCTATAAATGAAATTTTGTTGAAAATGGTCTCTTGCTCAGGCCATCCAAGATGTTGATGAGTTTGGCATTACATCACTTGCTCAGCAATGGATCCTCTGCAGTGAATGGGTGCCGTCAGAATGAGAGTCCAAACATCTGATAAAAACATCACAATAATCCACAAGTAATCCACACCACTCCAGTTCACCAACGTTTGTAAGAAACAAATCCATCAAGACATTTGATCTTTTTAACTTTAAACTATTGCTTCTGGCTAAAATGCGAGTCTATAATCCATAATGATGCTTCCTCCAGTGAAAAAGTCCATCCTCAGGACTCTATTTTTGCTGGAAACAAGGGTAGAAGTTAAAAACGTCTTGATGGATTTGTTAATTGAGCGACTGGAGTGGTGTGGATTACTTGTGGATTATTGTGATGTTTTTATCAGCTGTTTGGACTCTCATTCTGACGGCACCCATTCACTGCAGAGGATCCATTGGTGAGCAAGTGATGGAATGATACATTTCTCCAAATCTGTTCCAATGAAGAAACTCATCTACATCTTGGATGACCTGAGGGTGAGTACATTTTCAGCAAATCTTCATTTTGGGGGAACTATTCCTTTAAAAGCAACATAAAACACAACAAGTAGCCTCAACAAAGGTTGTGTGACTTCAGAAAATGAACAGTACCAGTTGTCAGGAAGCCCCCTAGTCAATCCACATAAGACTGTCTTCCAGTTCTGCTACAGACAACAATAACAAAAACATCGCAAATCCGCCAAAAATTCTCACTCTGTGCATTATGGCTTTCAACACTTTAATATAGTGACTATGCTTTCACATTCAGGATATCAGTGCCATTGTATTGTAAAACCACACACGTACACACACACACACACACACACACACAAACTAAGAACAATACCGCCATAATTACACCACATAAATTATATATAAAAAATTCCTGCGTGTACAGAACAAAAAAGAAAAACAAAGGATGATAACTGTAGGTGCCTGAGTCGAGGTGAATCACAACGTTCCTGTGACAAAGGTACAAACACGTAAAATTTCGCAGGTTTCTGATCACCGTGGGATCCAGAATGGCTATTTAAATCTTGAACACACTTGGCCAGCGAACAGCGGTAAATATCCTGCTGCTTTATAATAAAGGCCCTTAAAAACAACATACTGTACTCTCTCGAAACATCCTACTAGATCCCTTGAGAAAAAGAAGACTAGCTTCAACAGACATTCCTAGTCTCACAGACCACCAAAACTCACATAAAACCAGATCAGCAGTGATTGTCAATAAGAAGGACACATCAGCTGCTGGTCATCAAGGGCCAATACATGAGATTATGCTCTGATTTAGAGACAAAAAGCTCCTTTTGAAGGAATCCAACTTGGCAACCTGCAGATATACGAGGCGAATCTCAATGATGTGATGTCAGCTGCCTCCAAGAGATCTGATTGGTGACCTGATAATACAAACACTGATCACGGTGACAGAAAAACTGCTCGCCATGAGTTTTGAATCTTAAAACCATGTGTGTGCTGCTGCTTTTAGATAGACTTCAGATTATTTGAACACCAAAAAAATACTTAAAATCCATGCTTACAAAAAAGAGAGAAAAAAGAAAGTGTTTTGAAACAAAACATCAGTCATTTTACCATCAAATATACAATCTCAAGAACAACAGCAATACTTAGAATCCTGACGGAAGTAATAATCATATATAATCAATAGTAGTAACAATAACAATAAATACAATAATAATAATTATATTTTTATTAAAACATGATCTACTGTATTTGGGAGTACCTGGGCACAGGGGGCATAAGGCCAGTGAAGACGAGCGTAAAGGCAATCGTGCGGGTTATTATAACTCTAGACGGGAACCTGGAGTCTATGATTGCTCTCGATGATTAATATATGCAGTGCTGCTCTTGCGTCGGGAGGGAATCTTGGCGTTCGGTCGGACGTTCGGGAGCGTGCTGGGTGGAGTCGGAGGTGAGGGGGGTTCTGGATGCTGTGTTGAGAGCAGCCCAGCAGGTAGAGAGATAACTGTCGGTTTGCATGCAGGGGAGGACGGCTGTGTCCAGCGTTGGAAGGCTGGAGGTTTCGGAGCGCTCCGACGCTGGACCTATCAGTCCTCCTTGTCACTCGCATCTAATGTATCTGTTGCAGGGCCACTCTGAAATACAAAAACACAGAAATGCTGTTTTTAATCAGCTCACACTGGAGTGAATGTTCTAAAAATATATAAAATATACATAGATTTAAAAAATATATTAAAAAAAGAAACGAAAAGAACTATTTAAATATTATTTTATGTTTTTATTAATGCTTATTAATTATATTAACAATTATAATATAATTAATGGCTCGTTTCCACGGAGCGGTACGGTACAGTATAGTTCAGTACAGTACGATTCGGTACGGGTAACCCGGATCAGGCTTGCGTTTCCACTGCCAATAGTACCCTTCTTGATAGGCGTGGTGTATGCCGGAATGTAGCGATCGACGATGAACCGCGACAATAATCACAACTCTGCCTCTTTTTGTTAAATGTCAGTTTTAATGAACAATAATAGCCATTATAAAAGTATAAGTACAAAGTATAAGAGGCTTATCAGCGCTGTACTACAGTAAAGTTAAAAAGAAATATATAAAATTAAACATAACTTTGTGCTCAGCCAAAACAATATGACCAGGAATAAATAATAGATTCATGAGACCACGAATGCCTGTTAAATATAGCCTACCCAAAATGAATTGTATCTCATGTTTAATCACTACAGAGACATCAGAGCCAGCGGTAAACGAGCCATAATATGAATTTATTTGAATATTTTATTTGAATTAATATAAATTACCTTAAACAAGGAATTTGTTGTATAAAAATATAATACTGTTCAAAAGTTTGAGGACAGTAATATTTTTGAAAGACTTTCTTTTTGAAAGTTTCTTATGCTCTTATGTGTTATTTTAGTATAACTGAAATATTATTATAGTTTTTATTAATATTTTGAATTTATTTTATATTTTCTGTTTTATTTAAATTTTAGTTAGTTTTGTTGTTTTTTGGTCTTTTTTTATGTGTCTACATAGTATGTTTTTTTATTTATTTCAGTTTTAGTTATTTTAATACATCAAGTTAAACTAAACGAAAATGAGAAATGTTGCCTTGACAATAAGCTGAGATAAAATAAGTTTATGCTTTTAATATTTGATTTTATTTCAGTTAATGTGCATTTTATTTTAGATAACGAAAATGTTTTTATGGTTTTCATTTCGGTTAACTATAATAACCCAGAATCCATCTTGACACCAACCAAAACTCTACTGTGAAACAGATTTGAATCCACACCAAAAGCTCTAGTGTGGAAACAAAAGTAAAAAGTTTCAGAAAATGGACAACTCCAAAGCGTCACCTTCACTGGAGAGGGGCAGCCGGTGCACCGGAGCAGTGGAAATGAACGTTCTGCCATTTGGAGTCCCGACGGTGCCACACGCGGGTCTCCTCCGACTGGCTGCTGCGTGGCCGGCCCTGTCCATCCACAAACTGGGTGAGACGGATGTAGGCGATGCAGGCGGCCTCTTCTCCGATCAGGTGCACGTGAGGGTTCAGGATGGTGGTGTGGATGGGCTTGCTGTTCTTAGAAAGCACTGCGGAGAAACACAAACACATGGAGAAAGATCATGTGCTACAGATACTTCCTGTGATTTATATCACACATTAATGATTTAAACCATGGTAGTCTTTCTGCTTGAACACACTTACAGTTCTCAAAGTAGAATCTATGGAAGTCCATTCCCTCAACTAGGTTCCCCAAAGCCTCGGGTTCAAAGGAGGTCAGTCCAGGGTCACAGATTTTCCTGTTACAATGGTCCCATTGTGTATTATTATTCAGGTAGCTGCTATAAACATGGACAGTTGAACTATTTTCATCTTACTCTAACTAAACTGTTTCTCCGCCATGACAGTAGAACTGACTGTAGAAGAAGACAGTTTACACTAATGGCTGCTATAGCATTCTTGTATTTGTACAATATGGTGTGTTTTGGGCCAAAGTGGTTTGTGTTTGCATGAAAGCATAAGGTAACATACGCATAAGCGTCAAAGTCCCCATTATTGATGGCTTCTATCAGCTGCTCCGTGATCTTAATGATTTCCTGTTTGCGTGCTGTAAGAGAAAACACGGACACAGGTAAATACACACATACAGTTTATGCTAAGTAGTCCCACCTTAGTTTAATCTTTTTTTTCCCCACTCAAAATTATGATTATTAAAAAAAAAGTAAATACTTTTTACTTCAGATATTGGAATATTTTAATCTTTACGTTAAAAGACGTGAATTAAAGACCCCATAAAATCAAAATGTGACTTTTGTGTCTCTTAGTGGCTTAAAATGGACCATAATAAAAAAATAAAAATAAAAAAAAGGACAATATCTCATAGCCTTTATTAATCTTAGTTAGGTGTCAGTGAGCTTTGTTTTGTAATAAATCTCTTATGCTGCATTTATTTGATAAAAAATACAGTAAAACTGTAACATTTGTGAAATATTATTACAATTTAAAATAACTGTTTTCTATTTTAATGCATTTTAAAATGCAATTTATTCCTGTGATCAAAGCTGAATTTTCAGCATCATTACTCCAGTCTTCAGTGTCACATGATCCTTCAGAAATCATTCTAATATGCTGATTTGCTGCTCAAGAAACATATCCTATTATTATCAATGTTGAAAAAAGTTGTGCTGCTTCATATATTTGTGGAAACATGATACATTTTTTTTTCAGGATTCTTTGATGGATAGAAAGTTCAATGCATTTAATGCATCCTTGCTGAATAAAAGGACAAATTTATTTTCAAATTTTACTGACCCCAAACTTTTTAGCGGTAGTGCATGTTCCGCCCCAACTTCCTGTCTCTACAGGAAATACATCAGCACAGGAAAGACAATTGTGCATTCATGAATTCTTTAAAACTATAGACTGATAGAGTCAAAGCTAAGTGTTCTTCTTAGTTGTACATGACATGAACAGACAAATTTCAACCTTAACCAAAGAGTTAACGCTCTGAAACACAGGCAGAGGTCAGAAAGGTCACGTCCTCCTGACTCCAGACCTGAGAGGCTGAGAGAGGTTTAACACACACCAGCTCTGCTGTGGACTTACCTAGTTTCTCAGTCATGATCTTCAGTCTAGACCCTCATCCATTCCTCCTCAATACTCTGCCTAAACTCTCTCTTCTGATGAAGTTTGCACGCTCACACATGCACAAAAACACTCTGCCTTCATCTAATCGACATCTCCACCACTTTCCTCCTCCTCGTCTTCTTCTGTCTTTTCCTTGTTAACTGCATGGAGCTAGTTGAGCTATTCCTGGATCCTTAGATACGGCTTACTTCTCGTTTCCTCTCTCTCTCCCTCCCTTCACAGCTTCCTGCTCCACTTTAGAGGAGCTTAGTGGCCCCGACACGTCCTTCAGTTTCTCCTTGTCAATCTGACACCGCAGGCCTGATCTAAAGTCTCTGACTGTGGCTTCAGCTTTGATAAACGTCCCACTTCCTCTAAGCGGATATGTATGGAAGTGCATCACAGTTCTGTCACAAACCATACTCTGTAAATGTTATTTCAGATGCTTAAATGCTGCATTTTTATCAGGGAAAACTGCCTCCTGCTTCTTCCGAATGTCATATGTTGGTTACAGGGTTGATAGGAATTCAGCTGCAGACTGTTCTTTTTCATTCTTACCATTAAAGGGGTCATGAACTGAGAAATCAAAATTCCCTTGATCTTGTGACATATAAGAGGTCATTGTACTATAAAAACCTCCTGTAAGTTTCAGAACTCAAAACTTTCTCGTTAGTCCAAAAACAGCTTATATTGAAGCCGATCTGCCTAAACCCCGCCTCCGCAGAAGCAGTTCAAAGCCTGCTTCAACATCACTGCCTGTTAAGCTCCGCCCACCAATTCGCATATGTAGTAGGTAAATAACGCAAGAGGAAAACGCAGGTCTACACAGAAACCAAACGATTAAGATGGCTCTGAAGAAAACTAGACGCTGTGCAGTGCCAAGTTGTGCATTGCCTTCCTTCTGATCCCAACATTAGGAAAGAGTGGATGAACTTTATTTTGTAATGAATCAAGGCCTTTAAAGTCATTAAAGTGCAATGTGGACTTGACCGTATGCTAAAAGCACACACACTATATACTCACTCTGTACAGACACAGAGGTGGGCAGGGTTGGGGGGGAGGAGGTTTGGGGAGGGGGGACAGAGGGTCGAGAGGAAGGCGACTCCGTCTGAGGCTGTGGGACAGGTGCGCGCCCCACACTGCTCACCAGATCTGTGAACCGGGCTGAGTGGATTGGGAAAGGGAGGAATGCATTAACCCACCGTAAGAGACAGAGAGATGGACAACATGTGAAGAGATGAAAAGGCAGCAACATCAGACAAATAACAATATGCATGGGGCAGTCGTGTCTGATTGAACAGGATATGCATCAATAACAAGGGTCAAAGGTCAACACTTGGGCCAACAGACGGTACATGAACAGGGTCCTACATTAAAAGTGCATGTTTTACCTGTTAAACACCTAAGGACATGAGTAACAGTACATCATGTACATTCACTTTATAATTTTATCAGTGGCCTAGAAAAAGCCGTTTTAATAGACATGGAGGGGGTCGGCTCATGGGGCCTGACATATTAATATCATACAGCTTAATATATCCCATGACTAGCTGAATACTACTCATTATATCTTAATAACTCCCCTGTTATTGGAAACTTGGTAAACAGCATAATACATTGTCCAAATTGCAAAGTAAGCACTGTCGCTCACAGCTTAATAATTATTTTATTATTAAATTGATCCGTTTAATACTTTAATGAATTTAATATTACATTAATAAATTAATAGTTAATATGATTAAATATGAAACTAAATGATTATGCTAAATTATTATGCTAATTTGTTAATTAATAATTAGCTAATTATTCGTTTAATTTAATAAACTGAATTATTAATTATTAAATCATTAAAATGAATATATATTACAAAGTAACTACTTTAATGACAAAGTAGGTTACACTTTATTTTAAGGTGTCCTTGTTATGGTGTAATTATGCAGTTAAGTACTATGTACTATTTAAGTACTATTTAAGTAATTATGCATTTAAGAGTAATATGAATTAACTACATGTACTTATGGTTAGGATTAGGGTTTGGCTTAGGGTTACTTGCATGTAATTATGCATAAATAACTGTGATTATAATAGTAAGTACATGTAACATGTGTAACAAGGACACCTTAAAATAAAGTGTTACCCAAACGTATTTCAGGACATTATTAACTTATTCAATTAAAGGCACAATATGTAAGATTTTTTTATTAAAATATCCAAAAACCACTAGAACAGTGTTATATATTTTGCTGACTTGTGTACTTACATTACCCCAAATGTTTCGAAGAATGTTTAAATCCAGAGAAATAAGCAATTTTAACTAGTGACACGGACCGTGTCCATAGTGTCATTGTGTCGCCTGCCAATGACGTCATAACCCCTCAATTTCCGGTTTTGTTTTGTAGAAAACATGGAAAAACCAAAGACGCTTTAATATG